ACATTTTAAGAAGAAAAATCAAACAAATGAATAACAATCGAGTTCAACAGTGATTTTGCTTGGTATTGTGCTAAAGCATTTTTCGGGGAGGAAGCAACCACAACACTTTTCCTCTTTTTTTTTTTTTTATTTTTTTTTATTTGAGATGAAGTCTTACTCTATCGCCAGGCAGGAGTGCAGTGGTGCTATCTTGGCTCACTGCAACCTCCGCCTTCTGGGTTCAAGACATTCTCCTGCCTCAGCCTCCTGAGTAGCTGGGATTACAGGCACCTGCCACCATGCCCAGCTAATTTTTGTATTTTTAGTAGAGATGGGGTTCCCTATGTTGGCCAGGGTGGTCTCGAACTCCTGACCTCAGGTGATCCACCCACCTCTGCCTCCCAAAGTACTGAGATTACAGGCGTGAGCAACCGCGCCTGGCCTATTTTTCCTATTTTATAAGTGATCAGCTGATTTATGTTTTAGCATAATCACCTAAGACTATTTATTTTCATCGATGTATGTGCTGGCCGCTATGTAAAATTTGGCTGCGAAGACATGGTGCCAACTAGTGAGGGGCTTTTGGATGGGAGTCAAGCCTTGAGCAAAGATAACCTGAAGTTTTGGGTGTACTCATGAGAAAAACTCTCATCAGGCGACTGTCATTTGTTATCTGTAGCTAATCCCAGTACTTTTCTATTATGATTTATGTTTTGTAAAACATGTTTGCATGATTTCATTTGAAATTAAAATTTAACATATTTTGCTGGCCGTGTCTCCAAAGATTTCATATTATTCTGCAGCAAATATCCTGCCGGTTTGCTGTGAAGACAATTGAAGTTTTTTTGTTTCTTGCTTTGAGCTGGTATGAAACACCCCTTGACAGTTCTGGCTTGTGAAGGGAATAATTGTCTCATGTGAACTCAAGGTCATAAGAACTTTATCAGCTATCATTGTTCATCATAACTTGAACACCGCCACAAAAAAGAGATGGGCCAGTTTATGGATAATTGCAAAACTAGATGATCATCTCCATGTAAGCTGCCCATTTGCTTTAACAATTTGCTTGAAAAGTCTTTGCTAATGAGCCCTCCCTCACCTCTCTGTCACCAAATCTGAAAACATACCTGTATCTGCACCTGTTCTCTGCCTTCCCTCCTGTTCAGCAAGTGGGGAGGTGGTCTGGTCCCTTTTTGTTCTAGACCCCATTACCTTCTCAAGGACTGGGCTCCTGCCACACGCAGCCTCTTTCTTCTGTATTGTCACTTTCTCCTGCTTTACCAAATGATTCCAGCCCTTTGATTCAGATAGGCTTCTGTGTCTTTTATCTTAAAAGAAACCCTCTCTTGACCTCGCCTGTCTTCCCAGCTGCTGCCTGGCTCCTCAGCCTTCGTCCACAGCAAAACCACCAGAGAGCCTCATCTGCCCCCGCCACCTCCACCCGCTCACATCACATTCTCTCCACAACATCCTCCACCTGGGTCCTTATCAAGGTCACTGGTGACCTTGAACTGCCAAAGTCATTTTGCCTTAATGTCCGTCCTGACTTCCCATCAGTACTGCCCACTGCTTACGTCCCTTCCTTCTGCAACGGCTCTTCGTAGGGCCTCACACATCCAACTGTCCACCAGGCGTCTCCACTTAGATGCCTAAATAGCCATCTCCAACTCACCAGGAAAACAAAACCTTCTCAGACCTGCCTCCTCCCAACCTGTTTCTACCTCCTATGCGGAAATTCAGACCCAAACACTCAAAGTCATTCTTGATTGACCTATTTCCCCTCAGTACTCACATCCACATGCCAGCAGTCTAAATGTTTCCAAAATAAATCCCAACTCAGTCCACTTTTCTCCACCCCGATGATCACCTCCCACTGAGAGTTGTCTCCTTACTTTCCTCTGTGTTATTACAATAGTCACCAAAGTGGCTGCCCTCCTTCAACTCCTGCCTCCCCACAATCCATCTCTACCCACAGCCAGAGTGATCTGGATGAACACAATCAGATCTCATCACTCCACTGCTTAGAACCCTCTAAAGCTTCGTGTGTCAGGACACACCTGGCCTGTAAGGCCGATGATGAGATCCAGCCTCTGAGTGTCGCTGAGCTCTCTACAGCAGCCCTTCGCTGATACGTGTTAACCACATTTGCCTGCTTTCTGTTACAACTTCAGATTCATGGAATTCAACTGAAATTCAACCCAAAGGGAAACCCACCCATATTTGCCCCACATGTGATATTCTTAGAGAAAATTCTCAAGATGTTTGTTTCTAAGTTATTTTTCTCATTTTCCTTCTTAAACTGAAGAACCCTAAAATTAAATTTTAATTTTAATAGAATGTATTTGGTTCAAAAGTTATTTTACTACTACAGGAAAATAAACTTAAGACCCTCAAATAATTGAATTATGACACCAACAGGCTTTCTCAAAGATTCAATCTCAAAAAAGTACTGGATTGAGTAAAATAGTGTTTCGGTTACTATTAAAATACTTGATTTAGCTCTATTTGTATGTTTATAAACAACACAGATTCTTTTAAATAAAAGTCAGTTTTCTTCAAATGTACCAATGAAGCATATAAGTCAGAGGTTTGCCTTGATATCATTCTGAATGAGGATCATCAAAATATGAAACCAAGAACTACACAATTTAACAAGATAAGTAATATAAATATTTCCAAGCACTATGAAATAAATGTCACTAAAATTGTGCGCATATTAAAATTGAAAATAGCATTTTCAGAAGGAATATTGCATATTTAACATTAATTGCCTTATATAAGTCTGGGCTATATTAAAAAATAAAAGTATATATACAAATATATATATATATAAAAAATACTTTCATTTGAGATATGCATAGACATTTAAGACAACAGACTGTTAGGCTTAAAAAAACACCAGTAAAACTAACCCGCCTGAAAGTATTACCTCTGAAAGAGCATTGTAATTATATTATTTTAATGATAATTATGCTTTCTGATAATCATTTTTAAGTAACCTTAATTTATCTATATGAAAACATATGCATTCAAAGCAAACCATTTCTCAAGGTTTTTTAAATTAATGTTCATGATTTAGTTCCAAAAACAGTTTCACAAATTAGATGCTTTGGATTCCTTAGATAATACAGGTGGGAGTTGCCAATTGTTTCTGGATTTGGGGTTGAGTATAGGATGCCTCATCATCTGAGATTGTCATGAACAGGAGAAAGAAGACATGGGACTGATTAATACATCTTAATTTTGATTTCTTACTAGATTTTTTTTTTGAGGCGGAGTCTTGCTGTGTCACCAGGCTGGAGTGCAGTGGCAAGATCTTGGCTCACTACAGCCTCTGCCACCTGGGTTCAAGAGATTCTCCTGCCTCAGCCTCCCGAATAGCTGGGATTATAGGCACCATGTCCAGCTAATTTTTTGTATTTTTAGTACAGACAGGGTTTCACTATATTGGCCAGGCTGGTCTCGAACTCCCAACCTTGTGATCTGCCCACCTTGGCCTCCCAAAGTGCTGGGATTACAGGCATGAGCCACCACGCACGACCCCTCACTAGATGTTAAGAATAGCACTTTCCCCTAAATATATAAGATGTTTTATGATTACTTTTACGCAAACATGATAGGATAAATCTGAGAACTCAGATGTTTTTCTATAAATGTCTATATCTGAAGTTGAAAGGGAACACCACTCCTGATTTCAATCAGGACCATGTAGTTCTGGGTGATTTTGCCAGTGTTCACAGTATCAGTGAGAACTGGGAGGACACCTGCAGCTCCAGTTAGCTGCAGTTGTAGCTGGAGCATCTTCTGTCTACCCCTCCACCTATGACATCAACTTCTTGCTCACTCCAAGCCATCGGGTTAAAGATACAGGGCCAGATGCCCAGCCCCTTCTTCCAGCCGGTGTGCCACTTCTCACTTCTTCATTGTAGAAATTCTACAGCTATCACTGGCTCTATACTGGTATGCTTATAAGAGCAAAAATCATATTAAAAGATGAAAATAAAAGCCTTTTTAAAAAGCTATTCTTACTAGCCATCCCAATAGAGAGCCCACAGGACAACAGTGCTCTGTGGAGAAGGGGTGGGGAGAGCAGGTGTACGCAGGCCTTGCAGTCAGGGCAGGGCCTCTCTGTTTTACACACTGGTTTCTGCACAAGCCTCCCTTCAAAGGGAGGATTCTAAGAATGAAAGATGTCTCCAAACTGCCATGCCAGCCAATACCAACTTTGAAATACTGTTATTGATGAACACACACACACACACACACACACACACACACACACACGCTCTTCTGGTGCACTGTCACAAAAATGACTTTCTGAGAAACTTAACGAATACTTTTCCTTTGAAACACGCTTTATGAAAACGACCAAATATTTTAAAGAAATGTATATTCTGAAAATGAGAGAAAACTAATATTGATCTCATTCTTTTGCATAAGCAATACTGCCATCCAAATGATTAGGAAAAGCAGCCCTAAGTAATGCAGATATGAACCAAACTGCATTTTAATATGATAAAGTAAACATTCAGAAGTGATTCATGTTATCATTTTTTATAGAATGCATTATTTTTGCAATTGATCTGAAGCCTGTGCATCTTAAAAGCAAACTGAATTCTGTTGTTTCTATAATTCCCATGGAGGCAATTACCTACTCTAAATATTTTTCTCTACTCATGTAATCTCTACTGGTGTTATTTGGGAAACTGCTTAATTGTTAATTTAAGAATGCAGACAGGAAAAAAAGTACCATCAACATTTGTTAAAGGTACGCTGTCTTCCTGATTATCAGCCATCCCCATACATTCATAAAAGCATTTCTTCCAATCCCATTGTCATTAATATTTTTAACAAACACAAATATTTTGGCACAGAATAAGTATTCCTCTTAGGCATTTAGAAAGCTGAATTTCAAAGAAAGTTAATAATGAATTAGTATTAATATTGATTCTCAATAAGCAACCTTATTAAAAATGGTTCCATCTTTCACTCTTTAAAATACTTCAGCAAACATTTCTTACCTGGGAATATTCAAAGTCAGTGATAGGGGCTATGCTCTTGATGTAGTCTGATCGAAACTGGTTTTCAGGGTTGGCCAGCGGAACTGGAGGTATTATAGTACTCATCGCTGAAACAATTGTCTAAAATGAAATAAGAAAAAAATATGGATAAACATTTAGGCTCCACGTATGATAATCTACAATATGTAATTTCTGTCTACACAGTTTTAGAATGAAGTGCACTTGACCTTTCTAGTAAACAATCATTTTTAAAAGTACTTACCACGATAGCATCTTTAACATTTTTCCGAATGTCCAGAATTTTCTGCTTCTTTTCCCTGTATTGAAAGAGATTTGTTATTAGCTTAATTTACTCTTAGCACTGATTCCAATCAATTGAGTGGGATTTTAAATTTCCAGCTACAGCACTGACCTAGACTGGTTTCACTAGAGGTCAGTATCAACCTCCAGGACAACATCTGCAAAGATTTTATCTGGGAAAGGAAAGCAACCCCCTTTTCGAATTTGTACTCTAAAAAAACTTGAATGCACACAGTTTTAAATCTATGGCTTTAAACAACCATGCAGGTTACACAAAAACATGGCAAAATCACTATGGATACTGCATATAAATATAATGCCGCAGTTACACTTGTAAGTGTATTTTACCTAGGTCTATGCTACAGATAATATGTTGATAGTTATAAACTGAAAGATGCAAACAAATAATATTATATTGAAAAATATATTGAGATATTGGTTAAGTGTGCTCAGAGCAATACCAGTAATACAGATTAACACTCCAATAATTCCTATAAATCATATTGTGTTAAGCAAGTTTTTTTTTTTAACTAGATACTAGCGGAAGAAGGATTTGCCTAAATATACGAAATCCAACACCAAATATCTAATTTTTCCCTCCTTGAATGTCTACTCAATTATCAAATGAACTGTTTAGAGAAAGCACTTCTGGGACGTCTGGGAGAGAGACGAAGTTTGCATGCAGTTTGGAAGCAAAACCGAAATTGATCATTCTTACTCGGGATTAAACCCATTGACGTGCAGAATCCTCATCTGTTTGACGATCGTGCTTTTCCCAGACTCACCAGCCCCTGCAAACAAACAGAAAAGAATGCTGTGATCTGTGTCCGGATATCGCTGCGGTCTCTCACCACAATCCTCCTCGCCCAGCACGGGGATTTCCTACACGCGGGTTCCTGGCTGGAGGAGCTCGCCCGGGTCGCCGTCCGGGCTCTGCAGCCCGGTGGAGCGCACGACCTCAGCACGACCTCAGCCCGGCCCTGCCCTGCCCTCCCCTCCCGTCCCCTCCCAGCGCTCGCCGCTCCTGGCTGAGTGCTCCGGTGGGGCCGGGAGCCGCCACGTGCCCCCCGGCCTTACCCAGGAGCAGCAGGCGGTGGGTAGCCTTGTAAGCCAGGCGCTCTTTCTGCAACTGCTTCTCGATCTTTTTGTTGGCCTCGCGTCGTTCTTTTTCATCGACGCCCTGGTCTTCTGTCGTCTTGCTGTTGCCCAAACACCCCATGCCTGCCCGCTGGGATGGACGTCAGGCAGTTAGGAATGTGCGCAAAAAAGCAATAGAGAGTTGGAGACGTGTGCGGCTCCCGCGACGGCTCCTCTCTTCCCTGCTGCTGAAAGAGATGTTCTGGTCTCTCGGTGTTTTCCGATTCAGAGCAGGCGTTTCTTCACCCTCCCCCTGCCCACCGCTAACTCCCAACTAAATGGCTGTAAGGAAGACGCGCGGAGTAAAATGCCTTTTTAAAAGAGAATTGTTTTAAACTCTGCTGGATGAATACAGCATAATCAACGGAGACGGGGGGCGAGGGTGCCGGGCTCTGCTGGAGACAGCCGAGGTGACGCTGAGCCCTGGGTTCTCCCTGCGTCCCCGCGCCCGCACTCCCAGCCTCGCTCAGCCCCGCCCAGCGGGTCCCCGAGGGGGCGGCGCGCTCGGCTGGGTGTCGGGTCCCCGCCGGGGTGGTGACCAAGCCTGGCTTGGAGGACGGAGCTCACCGCCGAGGTCCCACAGGGTGACGATGGGCACCTGCTGGGCCAGCTCGCGCCCCGCTATGCCTCAGCCGTCGGACGTGCGCCCCCTCCCTGGTCCAGGCTCCCGGATTGGGGAAGGGAAAGGGAGGCTGGCTCTGGGGGCGGCCGGGCCGCTGGTCCGGAAGCTCTTGGAGAGGAACTACTGGCGCCGGAGGGGTAGGGGAGCTGACCTCCCACGGAGCTTGGCCGGCAGGGGCGCTTACACGCTGACCGACCTGGGTTCGGGGCCCGCAGCCCCTCCACCTCGCTGCGGCCGCGTGGCTCTCTCGCAACCCGAGCCAGGAGAGTGTGTCTGGGCGCGCGCCCAATGTCGGCTCGGACGCGTCCCTGCTCCTGGCGGGCGAGGACTCGCGCAGGATCATGCATATTCTAGCAGGGAGGAGGATCCCTCCGAGGCTCACCAGTCACACCGCCTTTGTTCCGCTCAGCTTCTAGACTATTCCAGCTCGCCCACGCCGCCGCCTCCCGAGCCTCCTGTCTTTACCTCCAGCCCCCGTTTCTCCTGTGCAGTGCTCCCGAGCTGCACTGCCACTTTTTCAGAAGGCACTGTGGCCTCGAACTTGGCGTTGTAGCAGAGGAAGGAACTAGGGTGCGAGACTAGCACCTGCCCTCCGTTACTGAGACCCCTCCAATAGGGCCGCAGCCTGCAGCGTGGTGTTTGCAGTGTAGGACTTGAGGGAAGGAGGACGGAAGAGGGGGCCGGGCCGAAGTCGTGGACGCCAGCGTGGGTGTGGAGAGGTCACTGTTCCCCTGTGCCGCTGTTCCGTCTTCTCCGTGCCTTTGCTCAGCCCTGTCGTCGAGTCCCTCCATTTTCCAAGAAACCCACACGGTCTTCTTCACCTTCGAGCTGGCCTTCTCCTTCACGAGAACAGCCCCCCGCCCGCCCCGGCCCCTCAGGCGCCGCTGCCCTGTGGACCTGTGCCCCTCACCCCGCGCACATTCCCCTCTCCACTCTTGCTTCAGCCTCTCCCGCTATTGGCTGGTTTCCCTCAAACAAGCGAACACATTCAACTCTGTGTCACTTGAACCCCACAACACTGTCCATCTCACGCCCCCTGTTAGTTCCACCAGTTTTCTTCCTGCCTACAACAGCCAAGAGTTGGAAATGTCGTCTGTCTCAGCCTGTATTCCCCTCAGCTGTTCCCATCTCAGCCCCTGGCAGCCTGGCTTCGGCCTTCACCCCATAGGGAAAATACTCTCATCAGGTCCTCCGGGGCCTGCCAGGGGCTAAGCCTCATCCATGAGTTATGGTCTTATATTGTCTTTGCCTCTCCATGGCGCCTGCTCTGACCCCTCCTGGAGACTGCATCGGGTTTCAGGCTGTCCTTCTGGCTGGCGCATCAGTCAGTGTTCCTCCACCCAGGGGGCCGAAGAGCCCTCCTCACAGCACAGCCTCTCAACCCACACGCGTGTTCCTGGCGGGCTGACTGCGTCCGCCATACACTGCCCACTCAGCTCTCACCACGCTGGCCACGGATCCCCAGCCCAACCCATCCGGCTGACCACGCCCCCAGACACGCCATCCTCACCGTGCCGCAGGTGTCTCGAATCACCTTGCCAAGGACTGAGCTCGTGCCCCGTGCCACCCTCACACTTTCTACCTGCCCCTCTTTCCCTCTTTCTCTGGATTAAGAGCCCCTAATTTTCCAAACCAGAACGGTGGGAGTCAAGCCAGACTCCATTCTCTTGCAAACCTCAACAGTTACTGCATCCCCTTGGGTCTGTTTCCTGAGTATCTGTCCTGTTCTTTCTGCAGCATCTGCCACTGCTGTGGTCTTAGATGACTAATTCAGAGCTGGGTTTCAGAGGCCTCCGGACAGTTTCACTGCCGCCTGTCTCATTTCAGTGCACCGTGCACAATGCTGCCACTGCGATAATAGAAATCCAGCCACATCACTGTCCCCATCATCTACAAACGCCGGGCCTGGTCCTTCTGGTGGGGTTGGTATAAACGCTCCCCTTCTAAGGGCTCACCCCATCCCTCCTAACACTCTCAGTTCCTGAACAGGCTGGTCCTAAATGTGCTGCTCGTGTCTTGGGAATACCTGGGTTCTCTCCTTTCCGGCCCAACCCCTAGTTATCCTTCCAGCCTCAAGCTAGGCCTCATGCCTCCCTCACTGGGGGTTAGGCATGCCTTCTCATGCTCAGAGGGAGCACCAGAGTCTCCACTGGTCTCACCCATCAACATCAACTTGCATTGCAATGGTTTGTTAACTGTGCCCTCAAAACTCCACTAGCCTGTGTGAGGGCCAAGGCTGAGTCTGTCCTTGTGCCTGCCACACCTATACCTGATTCAGTACCTGACCCAGAGGAGATGCTCTGGGAATATTTGTCAAGGGAATGAATGAAGTCACGAAAGACAAAGATAGGTCCAGATCAAAGTGTGAATTCTCATCAAAGGAATTTCATGACCACAGGTTAAATTCATAAAATATTTGTTCAGTATAGTAGTTTTAAATAAATATTCTTATTGAAAATAAAAATACATTTTTAAAAAGCAATGAATTACTTTTCCAGACATGGGTAGAAGCAAACATACAGTGTCAGACTCCATTCTGAGCTAGGTCAAAAGTTCAAGTTTTGTGGAAGGAGACTGTTTAGCAGTTTCCACACCTCACATCTTGTGAGTGTGCAAACACATATATTCACACATAGCAATATCAACCCAGCATGCGCTATGGCTAGTGGGGCAGCCAGAAGCCAAGAAAGCTTTTTTTGTTTTGTTTTTTTTTGAGATGGGAGTTTGGCTCTGTTGCCCAGGCTGGAGTGTGATGATGCGATCTCGGCTCACTGCAACCTCTGCCTCCCAGGTTCAAGTGATTCTTATGCCTCGGCCTCCCAAGTATCTGGGATTATAGGCACCTGCAACCACACCAGGCTAATTTTTTGTATTTTTAGTAGAGACAGGGTTTTATCATGTAGGCCAGGCTGGTCTCGAACTCCTGACCTCAAGTGATCCAACTACCTTGGCTTTCCAAAGTGCTGGGATTATAAATGTAAACCACTGCACCCAGCCAGAAAATGTATTTTTAAAAAGCATAGAGTAGTGGGATATTTATAAGAATTTGCCAAATTTTTTTAATGTCAAGATTTCTGTAAATTGTTGGAGAGCAGGGGACAAAATAAATCCCTTGAAAACTTATAAAGGGAGATTTAAGTTAGAACCTAGAAGCCACATTTTTAAGGCAGTCTGATAATTAGTTACCTGAAAAACATAGTAAAAGATTTCCACTTGTTCAGATTTAGCAATTAGAGTTAAAGATAAATCCTATATTTGAAATTTAAGAAGGATTATGTAAACAGATGTGATGGAAAAGATACCATAATATACCCAGGAACTTAATATATTAATAATATAATAATAATGTATACTGTAAAACTGCTTCTAGTTATGGAGTGATTGCTGGGACAGGGCTAAATCTTTTCCGTGGAGCAACTTACTTGGTATTTGCCCTAAAAGGGAGGAACTGTTGTCTTCATCATTTTACAGAGGCTGAGAGGCTAACAAGAGTATCTGGGACACAGAGCCTTTTAGTCTTGCTGCAACATTTGCACCATTACCTGCCATGTGTGCCACAACACACGCCAACACTAAAACACAAAAGCACTTTCCTTACACAGTGATGAGACATTTCTTATGAAAAATGCAAAGCCAATCTTAGCCTATTTTCAAGTAGGAACTCAACACACCTTAAAAATTTTTTTTCACCCAATCATCTGACCTTTTCCTAGTCTGGTCTGGGAAACCGATTCTCATTTGTGTTTAGAACCATTGCTCAGCATCAGGTGTACCAGCTGGCCCCCTGAGGCAGTGGGAGTAGGGCTGGGGTAGGGGGTATCAAGAGCAGAGTGGCACCCGCTGCCAGTGTGAGCGTCTGTTGCTAGGCAACTGCTGCAGCAGCATCGTGCTCCCCAGCAATGCTCCCACCTGCGGGGACCCAGGCTGCCCTGGGCACCGAGGGCAGAGGGTCTAGACTGACTGTGCCAGGGCCAGGAAGAGGAGGTCCTAGTTACCTCATAGATAATTTGAAAGGCACAAAAGTAAAACACAGTTGCTTCCTCACTCTTCTTGAAGTTTAAGACATATAGGATGTCTCAGAAGTCTTTTTCTTTCTTTTTTCTTTAAGAGTTTTATTTTTTTCACACCCAAGTAGGCCCAGGGGGTAGATTTTCCTTGCTCCCCTATCTGTCCCCACTCCTCCTGCCCTTCACAATGAGAAGAACATTCGCCGTTGCTCTATGGCTCAGAGAGCACCCAGACTTAGGCAGCTGACATGCAGTGGGTCAGCGGGCAGGCATCAGTCCACGTGGGCAAGTGATACTGGCTCAGCCACTCAGCCTTGCCTGGGTAGCGATGTTCAGGCCTCGAGGGCAGTAATAGCCTTCTTTGGCTTTAGGACATTGAAGGGAAATTTCTGGCCCACATTTGCCATAATTGCATCATCAACCTGATGTTCAACATATTCTTGTAACACTTTAAACCAGGAATTCTTACTCCAATCCCTGAAGGCTTCTTTTGTTCCCCAGAGAATCTCTTCAGGGTATCAGATTGGAGTCCTCAAATGTTTCTCTCAGGAGCTGCTTCTCTACCCCATCTTTGGAGTTCTCATTTCTCATGGCAGAGACATGTTACAGGGAAGAAAATCAGTGATGCAGAAACCAGACTCTCAGTTCAAGGCCGTGGGCGGTATGGGGAACTCAATCTGCGCTGAGAACATCAAACAAATAGAGCTCCTTCAGAGGCCTCTCACTCTCCTCGGCCTCGTGAAAATACATGTAACCCTGATTAAGTTCATCTGATCTCTGTCCAGAGAAGCTCACCATGCTATCTGCATTCTTCCAAATCTACTTGGACATTAAATACTTACCTACTGAAGTGCGAACTATTGTAATGTCCTAAGTTTCCAAGGAAAATATGGCTTAATCCAGAGCCTGAGTGCCTTCCTTAGAGTGAAAGAGGATTTCTCGATGTTCACTTCCAATATGACCTGCCACTCTTTCAGCACCAGTAAATCAGGGCTGTCCTCCATGCCAGTTGCAAATGTCTGGACAGTGTATTTTGTACTGCGTCTCTTTCAGCTGCTTCGCCTGTGTAGCAGCAACCAACTCAGAGTCCAAGCCCCTAATAAAACGGAGCCTATCCTTCCATCTGTCATCAAAATTGTCCTTCTCCTTCTTCTCCCTCTCCTTCTTCTTCTTTCTTCTTTTTAGAGACAGGGTCTCACTCTGTTGCTTAGGCTTGAGTGCAGTGGCACAATCACGGCTCACTGTAGCCTCAACTTCCATGTGCTCGAGGGATCCTCTTGCCTTGGCCTCCCAA